TTCAGCTTGTCGTCTCTGGCATCACCGCACCTAAACTGGCTGGCTGGCACCACGAAAGGTGGTCCTTATCTTGTGCTCAGAGCGAGAAAGTACTTATCCATGATTTACCCCTTCTGTATGTGTATTGTTTCACATGGCTGTTTAATGTTGTTCTGACTTATTTCCGTCCAAGTATTCACGTTGAAAATCGTTCGATCCGACCTCACACCTCACAAGGGTTCTCACGCAGCGATCTTCCTTACCATTACTCAGGCCCTCCAAGGCTGCAGAGAAGAATGACCGGCTAGGCAGAAAAATTGTCAATTGTCATCAGAGGCGAGAGCCCTCGAAAACGACCATAAGCTCTGTCGCGAACGAAGAGTCATTTAGAGGAATCTACTCCGAGACAGTAAGGTAATGCGTCCGTTCCTTCACCCTTTATCAGATCACCGAGAAGGTCCGTGAATCTCATCTATTGTCTGGGGCTTGATGGAGAACGTGCGGGCACGATGAGCTGCCACATCTATCTACGGATTCGGTACGCGAGCAAACAATAGCAGCAGCAGCCACGGCAGAGCTCAGTGCCAGCAAGCAGCCCCTAGCATGGCGACTCGCAAGTCACCGGCTTACGTGTGCCCACGGCGCGCCTCTTCGTACAGCGGGGCAGCTCACCGCTACAACTCGTCTTGCACTTTGATGATCAGAGCAAAACAGCGTGGACATTGCCGCAAATGCATGAGGTGAGACCCATGTCCATAAGGCTTGTGAGCAGAGGCAGCTGTGAGCTCGTGGTCCTTTCCGACCGACAGGACGGCGTCTGTCGACTCGTGGTGCGGCAGAAACGACGTATGGATAGTGTTACTGAGATAGTAGAGTGTCGCGTTGATGCTGTCAAAATAATGTAGAAGAGATTCTGTCAGGGACTGCAGTTTAGCATTAGCCTTTGAGAAGCAGAAGTACCAGCCGCTGGTCATTGTATCGGTCTATTCACTGCAGAGTATCAGTCTTCTCGAATGATTTGATAAGTATAATGACCGAGCGCCCAAAACTCCATTAGACGGGCGTAGGGTCCTTGCCGATGAGACTTGGGCAAGCCCATCTCGCGTAGATTGAAGGAACATTGTGAAGAAGTATATTTTGTGAGGTTCGTGATGATGGCTGCATTCTAGCAAAGTACCGCTATCAAGGTGGCTAGCTCAGTGGCTACTCAACGAATATAACGAGCGTCGATATTGTTGGTCATGATCGCATCGTGTGCCCCTGAGCATCGAGCCTGACCAGCTCTGCTTCAGCTTCGCCTCTTGCAAAGACGAGAATATTGAAGCGCAGCGCAATAGAAGCATGTGGACCTACTAAATATGACCTTAATGTTGTCTGCAGACTAGGTTTACTTCCATGGTCTTCACAAGGGCGCCTTTATGCATAGCGAGTTGATTGACTGTAGAGGAGGAAAATCTCCGGGCAGGTAGCCACTGCTCAAAGAGAAGCCTTGTCTCACCGAAAGAACGATCTCGAGTCTCTGGCAGGCGAAAGGTTCGCGGATGAAGTCTCGCACGTGATCCAAAGCTCATCCGGTCGATTCAACATTCAAGCGCGTCAATAGCGTTAGAGGTTTTTGTTTTCACCACCACGACCTACTTTGCGTTCTTCACAATGGTGGACATCTACCCTTCGACTGCGGAGACTTGGCCTGAAGACGGCTTAATTCAGGTCTACGACGTGCACGATAGTAGGATAATCCTGCTTTCGGTCGAATTCATGAGGGTCGGTGGCGTGCTTTCCTGGGAGTATGTGCTCTTTGCAACACAATCGGTCGTCGAAGAGGGAGGGCACATTGCTTCTGTCTCTGCGGATGCTCTTGGGCTTCCCAGCGTTCCCGCGCCGGGAAAGTATCGATTCGTTCGACATGATGCGCCGACGCTCCCGCCGAACCTTAGTCGAGGTCCACGCTTTCACTACAAGCGACGAGGACCTGATCCTGCCAGCCGTAGTTCCGATACGATGAGCCATTCGTCGCGCAGCTCCACAAATCAAAATCACTTTCGATTCCTGCTCGGCGTTCGGGATGGCTATTGCATCGTTTCGGAAAGCGCAAAGGCTGTCGCATGTCACATTCTACCGGTCAGCCGACCGGAATACTACGAAGAAGTTCTGGGTTTCGACCCAGGATATCTTTACAACGTCAGTTATGGTATCTTCCTGACACGCGATCTTCATCACGCTCTTGATAGAGGAGAACGGAGTCTCTATCCTAAACCAGACGACCCGACCACGTTGGTCGTCCACGTCTTTTACTGTGAAGACCCTGCGGACGAAAGCAGAGATTTCCACGGAAAGGAGATTCCGTGCTCTAGATTCCGATTTCGGAGCGTTCGGGAGCTACCAAATAGGCAACTGCTCGCTTTTCACTATCGGCAATGCCTTATCAAGCACACAAGACTTACCTCTTCTTTTGAATAATGTGAGAGGTACTTCGTTCGATGATGTTTGATCATGTCTTCCCGCTGTTTCTCGTTGCACCATGCTCATTTTGTCGGCTGTCCGCAGCATCTTCGCTCGTCGCTTTGTATAGTGTCCCCTCCAACCTCAATTGGAGCGTGTATGTCTAGGTGGGATGAGTCGAGAATGAGGCCATGAGAGGCTGCTGTTCATGGATGATCGAGG